GGGGGGGGAGGAGGGGGAGGAGGGGTGAGATGTGGGCTATCCGGGTGTCTGTCTCCAGGATGCAAGTCAAAGTTATTCCGGTCTCGCGGCATGGCGATTGTCGAAGTCTAGCTATTGGTGTGAGTCCGACGAAATCTCCACTTTTGTAGTTTACGGGGTGGGTTAGAATCGAGCGGACAGCCAATACCAGCAGCTACTTAATCGGTTGAACGATCGATGGTTTGATAAGTCCCTGCAGGTACTATGAGCTATTTAACTGAAGTTTTGTATTTTTTAAGCTGGGAATGACGAATAAGGAATGAGAAGACATTGTAAAAGTCATACCAAACAGACGATTTCGCAAAATCGATCGGCTATTAATTAATCAATGTCCATCGTTTTCCATTACATTGCGCCGCGAAATAAACATCAGTTCGTCCAACTTTTGGAACTGTTTATCCTCTAGGACGTGCCACAACATCGAACGGAACCGCTTGTAGTCGGATGGCGTCAATTCTGGTGAATCTGCCGCTTGTGGGAGAACTTACCATTCCACGTTCAAGAGGGTCTTGTGAGTCGTGCGAGCAGGGTGAGGTCATGTCTCAGCGGAATGACTTGCCTGCTTCCATGCCCAGTAAATGGCGATATCTGAACGATTTCTTCTCACGCTTTGTTCATTTGGTGCCTGTAGCGTGGCGTAGTTACCGTCTGACGTCCAGTTTCCATTCGTTCTTAATCAAGTACACCCCTCATGTACCACCACATGCACCAGTGCAGATACCTTCATCAAGTGGGTGCCCTTATTCGGTGTCGACGTGCTGGGTTGCCTGGTATCTGCCCACGATTTTTTGCATTCAGGATTCTTGTAAAAAATTCACGCTTCATCACTCGTCGCAATATGCCACAAGAAGTCCTTTTATTTGATGCCAATGTGGCACGCAATGAAAGGCATGTGTTCACACGTTGACCTGGGCTGTGTTCTGTCAGCACACGTGGGGGGGCCCGACTTCCAAGTTTTTCCATTCAGTGGTGCAAACGCTGGTTGCGTGATTCCTAACTGACCTGCAAGCTCTTGTTGCGTTTGCGCTGAGTCTTCATCCAGTGGAGCTTGCAATCGCGCATCTCCAAACTTTCAAGGCTTCTTTGTTCTGGTGCGCGGCTGGTCACCACGACCGAAATCACCACTTCTAAAACGTTTGTGCCAATAATTACGCGTTTCCTGTGGCACAACATCGGCACCAAGATCACTGCAAATCGATTCCCGTACTCTGGGAGCACTACTTTCCTTGTTGGAGTTCGTCTGGAATGCTGTGCCATCGAATGTGCTGTTTATCGGTTGCCATCGTGAACTCTGCCATTCTTAGGGGTTACGTGAGTCACATAGACTTGTCGACTGGGGTTGTGAAACCTTGTCGGGGACCCTTTCAAAACCACAAAAGACCGCGGAAATATTTCTTTTTTTTTTAAATTAAGTGTTAAGCTCGTCATTTTGGATCAGTAATATTTTTACCGCTCAATTTCACAAACTCCTGCCAAAATTCATATTTGTGGAAAAATCACTACCAGCTTCCCGGAACTGATCGGAACCCCTTCTTCGATGTGATTGGTAGGCCTGTCTGCTTGGGGGTCGAACTAGACTCTCTTTTGGCTACTCCCCAACCGGACTGCTTGAATGACGTTTCGTACAGCGTCTATCAAACCATTGATGGTGGTACCGTTTACAAAACATTCACCTAATTACGAGCGTGCAGTACGCTAGCCCTGTTCATGCGTGTGTACGTGTGTGCAGATTCGCCATGTGATTGGTCTACTCGTGTGATTGACACGCGCTTTCCCTGCCCACGTCGACAACTCACGCACTCGACCATAGCCAATGAGGCACGCGCGTTCGACGATCTGCGCGCGGATTGGCTAGGTGGACGCGTGCGCACGCAAGCGAGGCACTAGCGGGGTGGGCGATGATTGACATGCGCGTACGTAAAAACGCACGCTGCCAGTAGAGGTTTTTGCGACTCAAGTACCCTCCGCTAAGCACTCGATCCTGCTGCGTTGTCGCGGACACATCGGAAGATAGGCAGGTTGTCATGATGAACTGTATCCCGCATTGTCAACCGAAGGAATCACCCCTCACCTACGCAAACAGCATCAACACGAGCAACACCGCCAACCCCAGCTACTACTCCCCCACAAACGCCGATCCGTCTGAACCCCAAGACGCCAGAATTTCTGCATCGATTTCCAATGCCTCTGTCCCCGACCTAACTGGGTGCGTGTACGCTAGATGACATTTTTTTTAATTTTCCATTGTTTTGTTTTAATTATCATGATTTTGATTGGCAGATGTAGTTATGTCAATCTCTCCTCCGCTATCAATCATTTGTCTGCACGCGTAAACATTGTGATGTGATGACTAGCTAACCAATCAAACGGCCCGTCTTTCGATAATCGATTTTTAATTAGTGGTTTCCTTAAAAGGATGCTATACTGGCACGACCGTAACTCCTACAGCCGCACCTATCGACGCGTTTAGGAGATGAGTAGGTAGTGACAATAGCGAATGACTAAGACCCCTATCTCGTGATTTCGTAGCGACGTGCTTTGTTTACGAAGGTACGCGGGCATTTTGACTCAATGGCTTTATTCCAATGTAAACATTTTACTGGTGGAGAGATGGAATGGTTCCCATCACAGCCAATCAAATTTCGGGAAAAAATTAAGCGCTAGTGAAAGCGAGGGGAATCGGCTACACCCCCTGCCAGAATACACTCATTGTTGAAAATCGATGTAGAGTAGGTGGCGGGTGCGAACACTAAACGCGATGTGTCTAGTCCCAGTATTCGGGACAATGGTGGTTGGCTTTTAGGGATTTGGTGTAACAATGCCGCTATCCGGGCGGAAATTTGGGGACAGGGGGAGGGAGAGAGTGGGTGTACATCAGTTGCATCACCCTGTTCTCTTTCGACGACATGCGGGTTTGGTATTGTTCCGTTTGGCGCGAGTTGTGTGGATTCGTTCGGTATTTTCGCCTGGAGCACAATTTCAACTCCCCCTCTTCCGTTTAGGTGTGACAAGAGTGTGTGGTTTTGACCCGGCTTCTCAACCAGTGGTGGTGTGTTCTGAAGGGGCGTTTGCAGTTCACACGTTCGACCGCTTTGATTGGGGCCTAAAAGACGCGTCTGTGATTGTGTCAGGTGAAAAAATGCCACAACTTGACTGGCAGAGCCGTTAACATGTGATTTTATAACCAGGCTATCTTGAAGCTCCGCGTCGCTGTTGAATGAATTGTCGCGCTAGACGTCTGGTTGGCATTCCACTTTTCCTAATCCCTGTCTGTGTTTGTGTGTGTGTGTGTGTGCGTGCGCGTGTGTGTCTATGAAAGTGTGATTATGTGACCTAATTACGAAGCACAATATCTTCTAGACAGGTGAGCTTGCCACGAGAAGGTGAGTTGTGGCGGTTTAATGAAGCGTCTAATGGTTTTCTAGTCTGCGTTGATTGGCGGCACATAGCGCACAGCGAGTGTGTGTGTGCGTGTGTTGTCTGCAAAGTAATTCACTACTTCAAGCTGGTACACGCTCGAGGTTTCAGGCGCCGACGCCGCTGTAGGCGCTCAATTGATTCAGTCAAAAGCCATTGTCCCGCCTCAGTAGGGGGGTTAAAAGAGAGTACACTCGGTCGACAGTATCTTATCTCTCTCCCCTGGCAACTCTCGTGTGCGTGTGTATGCGAGCACTCGAGTAGCCTCGGCAACCCCCCCCACCCCCTCCCCGAGTCAGCGACACCTGGGCTCCGCATTTTTTGACACACACACACCTCGATAACCCTGTTGCTAACACGCCACTGTCTGCTTGCTTGCGACGTTTTCGCGCCATTTTCAAATTGCGTCGGGCATCTAATCGACTTCTAAGATGTGCAACACGAATTAGGGGAAACATGTACATGTTCTTTTTGACTCCTCGACTATAGAGACTTTGTGAAGGAAAATTTGTAGTCTTGTGATTTCCGACACGCTCTTTCCAGGCGCGTGTTCGCCGTTGTTGTGTTGAGAAAGGCAGCTTCGTCACGGTGAAACTGACCTTTGACATAAGCTCCCTGTAAGCCTGACTTTGATTTAATCAATATCGGCACAACCAGTTCTCAGAGCGTGCAGGCACGAGAATTTGGCGCAACCCGTTTTCGGCGTCGTAATTAGCCCATGACCCCTGATGAGTAGGCAAGGCGGGTCAGCGTAGTCTCAGTTAGGCCTTCTCACACGTAGTTTCATGACGAGACGCTGCCACTAGCACCTGTTTTTCAGACACTAATTTGCGTTGCTGGCGGTTGGCTGGATTCGGAAACAGCGTAAACAGGGCCTTGACTGCCTCAAAGTGGAAATCAACGCAGCGGAAGCTGGGTTTGAGTGACACAGACGTACATTTCCACACCGGAAGTGGGGCCGTTGAAGTTGGACGGTTAGTTCCGTTAACACTGACAGGATTTTCAAGAATCGACGTGACTAGAGGTGAAGCAGACAAGAGTATGTGTTGGAATCGTGTGTAGAATGTTTCAAGCCAATAAGAGCTAAGCGTGTCCTCCATTGGCCGAACCAATGGAATCTGCCCGGAGCGAGGTACTTCGAGAGAGAAACTTCTTTACCGGGGTGCGACAGCGTCGTGAAAATATCAATTGGGTGATGCGGTCATTAAAAAGTATTTGGCCAGAAGCTGGGTCAGCACTCTATCTGTTTACCTACACACACGTGTTTACTGTTTATTAAGAACGAGCCGCAAGTCGGTTTCACCAAATGCTCCGTTTTTCTGTGTGTGTGTGTGTGTGTACATTTGAAATCTTCTAGATGGTGATCTCGAAGACGTTGATCCTCATCTCACGCGAAGGCGCTAGGCATTGTAGACTGGCGTTACCTCCAGATGAAGCGTGTTCCTTGTGCTGTCGTGATTGACACCTCGATGATGGTGCTGTGTGGACACGCCTAGCACACACACACACACACACACACACGGTCTCAATCCAGTTAGCATATCAGCTAATTACGCCCTATTGCACACACACACACACGCACAAACCTGTCGCCTGCCTGTCAAATATGATTGGTGCGATGGTTCTATCGCTCTCGGTGTTTCTCTTGGGAGGGATTAGATGCGGAATGTTGAAGAGGGGTCGGACTATAACTGCTCACCCACCCACCACCACCACCTCCGCAGTGGCCGTCACGAGTGCCCGAAGTGTCAATCACTTGACGAAATACGGCGACCGCGTACTCACACTTCCGAAGGGCCTGATGCTATCGTGTGATCGCGTGTGCTGTGGTCGCCAAGCTTCAACAGAGGTTTTCTGCTGTGCTTTTTTTTGTCTGTGAGTCGAGAGGAGGTTGATGTCCTCATAGTTGGTCGATAAGCCAATAAAATTTGAGCAGTACAATGCGTCCATATTTCGCTTTCCTCACGTGAAAGCCGAAAGCCAAGTGGCGAAGCTTCTTCAGGAGTTCTCCTCACTGTAATTTGATTGGTTGTTACCGCTATTTAGATTAACGTATTGGTCCTAAAATTACGACGGAATGATCCGGCATTTTAGTTGGCTGAATACCCTAAACATGCAAATGCCCGTTTCGCTTCACCTTGGCCACGAAACAAGTAGTCTACCTGTTGTGTGTCCATGTGGGTTAATTTGTTCCGTCTTCATTTCTGCTATAGGCTAACCGCGGCGAACAATGGCCAGACAGAAGGAGTGAGTCATTCTCTGGACAGGCAGAAGCGAAAGATTAAAGAGTAAGCGTTCAACTTACACTGCTGATAATGCGAAATCTGAACACACGGAGTTCCACTGGTAAATTGATAATTGCATGTGGCTTTCGACCAATCAGGAAAGGCCACATTTGATTTAAGCGCGTCTACTTTTAACCACTGGCTGGCACGAGTAACTGAACTGAACTCAGAACAGCATAGTTGGCCACACGTGGAGTTGTTCCATGCAAACAAGGACTCGGATTCGGAAGGCAGTCTGGTAGGTTGATGAGGGCGGCGACGCCTTGCTAGTGTTGTCGTAAGTCCCTCCTGGCGCTAACGCGGATGAGAGTATTAGTGAAATCATCCGACCCCCCCCTCGCCCTCCTCCAGGGAAGGAACCTGCTGTCTATCCCTCCCCCCGCACCCAGCCTTCACATCCATTAGTAGTAATGGCAGCGATTGCGTGATGGGCAGTGGCTCGCTCCCTCTACTAACGACCCGCCAAGACAATTGATTTTGCGTCCTCCCGGGAAACAGGCAGATTTTTTGACAAACACACGGGGCTAAGCGGATTGGTAAAAGGGCCTTGCAGACGTTTACCCTGCTCGTTCTACGTACCTCTGCAGCACGGAGTCCGCGTCTCAGCGTGTGCCTCACCTAGAGTAGACTAAGACGGCGTGTGATTGGTGCATGTTGTCGTGACCTTGAAAAGTGTTCATTTGTTGTTTAAAACAAAAGGGCTGCGATTGAATGCGAGGACAGCACGCTCAGGCACAACATTGCCAAAATATGCATTAGAATATAGAAGGTGGTTGACTTAATTTGCACAGATAGTTTAGCCAATTTATTAAATATAAAAAAGTGGACAACAAAGAACGTGATCTTTGAAATTGTGTCCATTGTTCTCTATGACCTTGCGCCATCTTCCAGGTAACATACGAATGCCGCCGCGAAAAAAAACTTGCAGGAATCAAGGCAATAATGTAATCATCGATGAATTCAATACAATTTGTCCAACTTCTAGAACTGTTTGTCCTCTAGGACGTGCCACTGCGTTGAACTGACACTTAGTAGTCGAATGGGGCCAAGTCTGGTGAATACGCCGCGTGTGGAAGAACTTATCATTCCACGTTCAAGAGGGTCTTGTGAGTCGCGCGAGCAATGTGAGGTCATGCCTCAGCGGTATGACTTA